CGGATTGTAATTGTATCGTTCGCATTCTGTATGTTATTTATGTGTATGTATTGTATGTATGTGTAATTAGTATTTATGTTATTATTCAATATTTTTTTATTTTGTAATTTTTTTTACTGGATATATCAATCTTTATCGCCTAACATGAAAATCCAACATTCGCTCAGGTTAACTGGTAGAGAATGCCCTTGGCATTAAGTCCGCCATTTGTATTATTTTTATTTAATGCAATAAAGAGTAAATAAATAAATAAACTCTGTTATATATCAAATAAGAATGCTTGGATAGTTGTTTTTTTTATATTTATATTCTATGCATACTACTCATCTTATCAAAAAATATTTAAGCGCTTTAGATGTGTGTATTTTGTACATTTCGTTGAAAAACCGAAAGAAATGATAAGTGAAATAAAAAAAGTGTTTTTTTTTTAAATTTTCTATAAAAGATATATATATATAGCATCGTGATTGCATACTGAAATCATATAACATTCAAAATGATAATATTGGTAATCTAATCTCATTTTAATATAAACAGTTTTTGGTAACCTTTACATACTTACATACTGCTTGCTGTATTTTGATTGTTTAATGAAAATCAAAGGGATCGAGTTAATACAGCCAATATCTGTGTTAATTTTAATATTGTATCACAAAAAAATATAACTATGTATTTTCTTTGATAGCTGACATTTATTTAATTTAATAGAACCTACTGATCCTAGACAACACAAATTCCAATATAATAACTGGTTCACTGCGTCCGCTGAATTTACGCGCGCCGCCTAACTGCCGCCATGTTGGTTTCGGTTTCCGGTTCCGTAAATATGATAATTCCGAACGGAAATCATGCACCGCACTTGTTTAAAATATGCGTTCCGGGTAGTTCCTACAATTTTTGGTGCGAAATTAATTTTTAGTCGGAGCCTTTCGTTATGCGGTTACAATTCAATATGGAGGTGATTATTAATAAATAAAATTGATTAAACACGCATACAAGTGATCAAGCTAATTTATTTATTTATTTTAGGAAGGTTTACAGACATATATTAACACTAGGTTACATATTAAATAGGGATGATGACTGGGTAAAAAAATGCAATTCCATTTAGTCCGTCAGTCAGATAATAGAAAAATATTAGACACGTATTTTTTTTACTTCAATTTAACAAGAAATAGCTTAGATAACAGGCATTAAAGTTGAGGAGTGGGGGTTCGCTACGTCACAGTTGAGTAGAAAACGTACTCTAACGTGACGTCATACGAAATTTTAACTCAATGTAACGCCGTAATTTTATGATTACGAAAAAAATAAAAAATACGCTTTAAATATATTTTAACACTCTACCTGACGGACAAACAAACAAAAATTGGTCATCATCCCTATTATTCCGATGCTAATTACAAATCTCCACAAATAGGTTGTAGATTAATGTTAAAAACCTAAAGGAAAAATTTTGCAGAAAAAATTTAAAATTCCTGTAATAAAAACAACACATCTATTCATCGTTTTTATCATTAAAGCAACTGAGACTCAATAATTTTTTAACATATGTGGTACTAGAACAAAACAAGTCAACATTATAAAGTAGTCGATTAAATGTATTGAATTGAAATCACGAAAGTGTTCGTTGTGTAACGTGTATTATACATTAATATTAACAAGACAGAAAGGGACGAAGAATGTTGAATTGCGGAGACAAAGTCAAGAACTATTCCTACAAAGAACCAACCAATCAACTTTGTAATATTTTTTTATATTCAAGTTTTCACCTAATCCATTAGACATGCGATGTAGATTTATTTTATCTATAATTACAACTGATTTGGAGTTTTCTGATTAAATTATTTGAAAGTTTGTCCATATTACAAAGACGTAAGATTGTATTGTTTGTTTTGCATTGTATTAAATAGGCTACGAAAGTACTAGCCGGTATTAAAAAATATTTCACTCACGATAAGCTATATCATACGCGTGGGAAATGGGTTATAATTTACTTAGGCGAAGTTGTTGGAAAACAGCTAGCTAGTAATTAATAAATTGTCTTTAGTGTCCTCTTTAAGTTTCTGCAAATTGAAATATCTTAGAAATTATAAGTTATAAAGTTTGTTTTTATGTTAAAAATACGTTGTAATAAAACGCGATATTTCTTTTCACACGCTTCTCCTATCTTGAGCCTATAACTTTGCTTGGATTAAGTGGGCTTAAATGTGAGCGACGCGATCTCTTTCCCACATGTCGGCCTCTCGTTCACCGTTTAGCAGCGGCCACAGACTAAATAATAGGACGAAGCTAGCAATGTTGTTACGTGAAACAAATAAAAACTTTTTGGTAGTTTCTTTGCTTTCATATTTGTTGTGTGTAATATAGATAAAAATGCTTTTACGCCTTCAAGGTAATTCTAACAGTGAATCAGTAAAGATTTTAACCACTCTGTGCTGATTTATTATTATCGAAAAAAACTCAATTAGCCTTTGATTTTTCAGACGCCTTTATTTGATTGAATCTCTAAGCTGTGACAGCGTTATAATCGGACTTGCGTTCCACGCTAATTTTTATGGAATAACACAACAGATAGCTCAGTTTCAGCAGCCCGATATATTGGATGTTTTTATTCAATTCAAGCTTGAGGCAGATAATTAAATATTAGACATTAGTCCCAGATAAATGGCTTAAGTCCAAATTTGGCGTATTTTAAACAACGCCGAAAATACTAAACAACATAGAAAAGCTCATATTCTACATTAAATCAGAAGAATATTGAACTTAAGAGATGACAACGGTTACAAACTACCGTACCAACTGTTTCGCTATGAAGGTCGTAATATATTATTTTTTGATAATAAATCTCATCATCATCACCAGCCAGGGGTTCAGGGGTTCAGGCCTACCCTATTGAAGTCATCGTATACGATGAATGTGCCATGAGAAACTCGAGATAGATAATTTCTGGTCACCCATCCTATGACTGGCCATTTCGAAAGTTGCTCAACAATCGTATCGCAGATCGAGCGCGCTAACGACTGCGCCATCGAACTCCATTCATAATAATAAATCTATACGTATTTAACTGCAAATGTTAAATGAACAAAATTTATAAGCTGAAATCAACAGTTGTACTGTATATTATTCTTTTCCGTACAATCCAAACGAGAAATAATTATTTAAATGAGCTTTTTATGGGTTCTGAACTGGTCTTTTCTATATCGAGCGGACGGCAGACTCAAATGAAAAGATGTACTTACCTACAAAAATATGAAATAGCTACAACAAATTACTTTTAGATTAAAAAAAAATCGTTCTGTTAATTTAACATGTTCACGTAACATTTTTGTGGTTTCTCGATATTATTATAACCTCTTTGAAAGATTTTAATGTACTGGTTGATTTCCCGCGACTTCGTATGCTTAAATTATAGCCTATGTAGCTCGGTGCCGTAGTGGATAAACGCCGCGGCCCGCGATCTTTGTCGTTAAGCAACTTTCGGAAGTGTCGGTCACGTGATGGGTTACCAAAAAAATTATTATCTCGAGCTACTCCGTGCTTCGGAAGGCACGTTAAGCCGTTGGTCCCGGCTGCATTTGCAGTCGTTAATACCCTCCAATCCGCATTGGGCCAGCGTGGAGGGTCATGGCCCATCCTCCTTAACCATCCATAAGGAAGGCCTGAGCCCCTGCAGTGGGGACGTAAAAGGGCTGATGATGATGATGATAAACAGGATAATAACTATATTTGATCAATTTTGTAATGCTGAAAAATATTCTGAATGCTTAAAATAATATATTAGGATAATTACATTTAATATTTCATTACATAAAAAACAATGGAGTCATTAACGTAATACAACTTTATCTCGTTAACGCCACGTATTGAAGTTGATTATCAAATTTTATTCAGTGAAAGCCCTTTCAAATCCTTTCAACATCAAGTAAATGTGTTGTGTACATATATTTTTTAAAAGAAAACACCGTATATTTTTCCAATCACGTACCCTTCAACCCTTCAGCCGCACGCTGCCGGAGCGTTAGAAAAATCAACCTCCGGGCACAAAAGACCATTCGCTATTTACTTTTCAAAACGGGCGAGGGTTAAAACGATTTTTGAAAGCGGCGACGATTGTGCCCGTTGCCATATAAATTGAAGTGATATTTCAAAAATAAATAGCACTCTCTCTTAAATCATCGGTAAAAAAAACATCCTTGTCATGTTCAGGTGAAGGTCCAAATTTGCATACAGTATTCAAATTCCAAGTAGCTAAAGCTTTTGTACTATGGAAATCTGAAATAACATTCTAGCCAGACTTGAGATTTTTTTTTGTTTTGGTCATTAATAGAACCCGGAACATCAGATGTCAAGAACACTAGACAAGTATGTATACTCAGTCACAATCCACATACATATATCCAAACCGTAGTCGAAAACAGCGCCATCTATTAACGAACTTGTGTACTTCAAGATGAAAAATCCAAGATTTTTTTTTTCATTAGAGAAGTGGAAAATGGAGGTTCTTATTAAACATGACATAGAGCAAACATTAGGGCTGGCTCATTTCATACATCTACATGCATTACGGGACGTTAGTTTTCGGATCACGTAGCCGACCGTCGAGTTGAGACATTGGTCTCCCTCTAACTCCATTTTAACTTTGATGGGGTGGAAATGCGATGAACTAACACAGTACTAGTTTATAAAGCTTGCCAGTGATGGATATTTAAATATCTTTTGGCTGTTTATTTATTTCTATAATGGGTTTTATATACTCGTACAAGCTTAATCCAACCTAACTAGTAGAATTACTACTAGTTACGACTACGAGACGCAAGTCTGAAACTTTACGATTTATTAAACATACTCTTATCAAGTGCATACATTAGACACTTGGAAATGATTAATGAAAAGTGATTTCATAGTCTACTGAATTTTTCAATTTGACTTCTGTGTAAAAATAAAACGGCGACAAAAGTGAGTTTTTTTTGACAAATTAAATTAAGCATACTTACAGAGCACATTGATAGTGTGCGATGCGACAACATTTTCTGTGAGCTGCGCGTTGATGCCATGACACACAATGACCACTGATCTTCGATTTGGTTCCACCACCACAGTGATATTCGATGTGGTTATCCATCCACCTGGGAAAGACATATACATACAGCTTTGGAACTATATTTTCCAACCGGGGTAGAAGCTTGATAAAGTAAAAAAATATACCTTAATTCAATAATAAATTCCTAATCGATTGAAGCTATTTTGTTGTGAGACAAGCTGTTCGGCACTGGAAAATTACTCGCCAAGTTGTTGTGTTAACACAACTTAGTCCACTGTATTGCCAACTCACTTACTCGTTCTTAGTAAGCGAGATGGCAAAGCGGTCATGCGAGCTCTCACAATTTTAGTTCAGATCAGCTTGCCTACCTAGTAGTACCTATACATAGAAGTCTTTCAATAGAAAATCATTACCTTCTGGCGAAATAACAGTGCGATTGCTGGCTTCTTTGTGGTGTTTTCCCATCACCACCCATTTGATATCAGCAGCAGGATTTGAAGGTGCTGTACTGCAACTCAACGGCACTGGATCTCCTACCCTGGCCTCAGATGGACCGGAGATTGAGACGTGCGCTGGTGCGACTGTAAAACAAGAGACGTATTGAAATTTTGACACCATCACCTAAACTCTCTAAGATCTCTGGAATATAAATATCAAATCCAGAACTAATGAAATTCATGTGACACAAAAGTAAATACAGAAAGACTTGTTCTGTTTGTTCATCTTCTGTATTCATTTTAGCAGTACTATTCTGTTAAAACACAGCATCGAACACAGCGCTATCACTACATTAGCGGTTTATCAAGGGACGAACTCCGAGTGGCTGTTATGGTACCTTCATTGTTTCAGATACACCATCATACGCGGGTTTTAGCTACTCATCTTGGCAGTTTGAGCAATTTGTGATGTTATCTAATATTTATTTAATTATTTACTTATATTAATAAAAATATAAAGAGTTCCTTAGGCCACAGACCGTCACTAGATACTAAGAATGGCCAGAGAAGCATAACTGAAATAACAAAACAGAAGAATTTCACGAGACCCTGGAAGACCTTAGTACAATGCTCGAAGACCTTAGGTGAGTTTCTCAATAAGTACTCAATACTCCATTATGTTTTTTGTATCCGTAGTAGGTCTCAAAATTAACATGTAATGAGCATGGTGAAGACGGGTTTAAATTGTCGAGTGTCTGGATTCCAGTGGTTCGTACATGTCAAAAATGGAAGAGTCGAAAAGTGTCATTTCGCGATCTAATACAGCGAGTGTTTTGTGTCGAGAACAGGTGCGATTGATATATCCGCCAGTAACATCCGCCCGCAAGACATCAATTACTCCGAGATCAAGGTTTGCAACTGCATCGAGCAATCAATCAGCAATCCTTGTAGCAATCCTATCATTCTAATCAGAATGACCATAAAAATTTCAAACAACATCAAATACAGACTACTTCAAATTGAAAAATACCTGGAAAATTACATACTAAAACTAAATTGCTAGCACAACAGCGCAATACTTCTATCACGACGTTAACTCACCGTCACATAATTTTCTTATTTGGTTCTATCTTGTTATTAACTTGTGAATTTATGATAGCCATTTACGTTGGCTTTTATTTCAGATAATATTGTGTAAGCTCGTAATAAGGCTATCATTATTATTATGTTGCAATATTTCACGAAATTCTAATGATAAATTTTCATAATAAATATTATATTTCATATCTATCTAAGTTTGAGTTGAATATTATATTACCATTTTATTTACTTTTTATTCTCAGTCGTTTATTGCTTATAACATGGTATTATACACGAATATCTTCATAAATATGTTCTATTAACGATATTTAATCAAACGAATCAAGTGCTCATGTATTATATGGATAATATTTTAATGTTGCAAAGTGAGCGATTGAATTTTAATCCGAAGTTAGTTTTTTTCATTACTAGCTCTTTTAAACAAATTTCGTCAATTCCAAGAATAATAAAATTGTCCAAGTGACAATGAACCTTACCGAACCAACATTAGCAGACTCACGAAGGACGCTTCAAGGGCTAACATTTGTGCTATAAAGTCGACAAATATTATTTCAGAACTCCACAAACAGTGATGGAAATTGAACTAAATTTAATTATCGAACAGAGAGCTTTGGAGATACGGCCATGATTCAGAATTCACTGAATTATTTCGTAACAAAATTTTGCGTCGAAAAATTCTATAATTTAAATTTTCTTTGATAAATTTGTTTGCACTCTGTTATACTTAAGTAATAATATGTATGTAGGAGGTAATCGTGGAAAATACTGATCCGAACATGAAAATGCTTTCATCTACGGGAAGCTACATCATACGTGGGTGAAATAGGCTATAATTTACGTGGACGAAGTTACGGTTAAATAGCTAGTAGCGGGAAAATGACAAATAAGCAAAGACTTCGTTCATAAGATGCTAATCATCGAAAATACTGATCTGCACCTGCGATTCTGTTTTTTTTTATCGGATAGGGGGCAGACGAGCAGACGGATCACCTGATGGTAAGTGATTACCGTCGCCCATGGACACCTGCAACACCAGAGGGGCTACAAGCGCGCAGCCGGCCTTGGAGGGAAGGGTAGAAGGGTAGAGGGAAGGGAATAGGGAGGGGTTGGGCCTCCGGTACCCTCACTCACACGACGAAACACAACGCAAGCGTTGCTTCACGTCGGTTTTCTGTGAGGCCGTGGTATCACTCCGGTCGAGCCGAATTTCGAAACTCACTTCACTTATGCCACGAAACGTTATTACCAATTAAAGGTTGAGCGGATTGAAGTGAATTAGTGAATTTGAATTCGGGTTAGAATTTTTACGGATTCGCAGGGCTGATTATGAAAATACTTTCACCTGCGTGAAGCTACATCATACGTTGGCGTAGTCGCGGGATAATATTCAAGTATTGGTGATTTACTGTAAAAACTTTATCAATAAGTAAATGAGTTTTATATTTTTTTTTTTACGCAAACAGACGCATCACAGACCTTTCTTTGTCATAACTAAAAAGGCGTATCCCGTTTTTTGTCAATGATATGACCAAATCATTCTCACTCCAATAGACAAGGCTTCGGGGTCTGCTAGTGACAAGTCCCAAATTCGTTTAGACTCTATTTCAGTTATTTCCAAATAGGAGAAAATATTTTTGCAATGATAATAGGTTTATGACTGTCTTTTGAAATTGCTTTAGTGCAATAATAAAAAGGGAAATTTAGCAAATGTTATTATTTGACGACCCAAACATTTCACGACTATTCGTTTATTGCTATCATACTCAAACTATAGATAATATTGACTCATACATCCCAACTGGACTTCAAACGTACTTTGACAACTGAACCAAGAAGGGTAGTAACTTAAAAAGGCGAGTTTTCTAGTGACGGTCTAGTTCGTGGGAACTCCAGTGGGACATCGTCCGGTTACCTGCTCTTTGTAAATAAACAATGAGTTGGGGATCAAGGGACAGATGCTGGCGGAATTAGAGAGAAGTAGCGGTTTCACCGTTAAAGCGAAGTCGCCTTGATTTCATTCGGAATCTTTGTTTTATCAATGTAAGTCGATTAATCTTCGATTAAAATCCTCGAAATGGGAAGCAGGTGTCATATAGAGTAGGAACACGGTGAACAGCTTTGGAATACTATGGGAAATCTTTACCAAAGAACAATCAGATTACGATTAATAGCCAGTTGCACAAACGTCCATTAAAAGCGACATAACCCATACAAATTTGACATTCTTTAGGACTTGAAGGCGTCATTAAACCTTAATGGACGTTTTGCAACTGATCCTAAATATTTTTCATGTATGTATGTATATCGTTAGTAGATAACTGCTGGTCTAAATAAAAGCATGCCTAGTTTATTTTATTTTAATTTTTGTAAGAATAAGATTAGTTTGATAAATACATAAACTAATTATATGAATAGAGCATTTTTATCTTTATTTTTTGTTGGAGTGTCCCAAAAATATGAGCGAGCGACAAACATTGATCTAACATATATGACTACTGTGAAGTTAAACAGACTTGAATTAGGCTTTTCCAAAAGGTTATTGAGTGACCCATTGGCAAACACAGCAAAACTTACATGCGACATGCTAAGATATCGATGATTATTTTTCTCTAACTATTTAGGGTTTGATATTTTGAAGAAAAAAGTAATTAGAAATACTTTTATAAACAATTTGCGTAACTTTATGTTGGAAAAAGCAAATTCATTAAATCATTAGTCTTTGGGGGTTGCGTACATCGTTCAATTCACCAGAATATTCAGTGTCAATTCCAACTTGAATGGTTTGGATGTAGGAAGTTAAACGCTTCTTAAGTATTCAACGAATTTTATAATTATTAAGACCACTGAAAATTATCTTCTTGCGTTGCTACTCACTCTCAGAGAATATATAATAATCATTGTCCACCAGTGACATAAACAATATGAAAACTATAAAAAAGAATGATTTCTAGGTACATAAATTTCGCTACAAGTCTTTATATGTGTGTATTTGTTAATAATATATATAAGTATACAAAGACGTTTTTTGCAAATATATGCATAATTTACAGGTATCGTTGTACATTTGTGCAAGAAGTATAAATTAATAATCATATCTTTCAGACGCTAAGCTCTAATTAATTGGACCACAATATAATTTACTTCCTACACTTTTTGTTACCCATTTTGATACGGTACTATATCAAAGGATTATGTATACTCATGAAAAGGGAAACCGTTGCGTTCAAAGAATTAATACAAGTCTTCGGTTTCTGGAATCCCTTCCCTGCAACTTCCCGAAGACATTCGGAGTTTATAAAATGGAAATCGCGGGATTTATTAAGTATTAACGGGAGGGGACGCACAAATTTGTAATAGGAAAATATTTATTGGATGTTGACCTGTTTTGTGGGTTTTTGGGATTATGTCGCTCTGTCGTGCGTATGCCGATTTGTTTTCGTTGGGTGTTTCGTTTGTTTTTAAGTATATTTCATGAAACAAATATGGATTTGTGAGTTGAAGAGGTAGTCATTATTTATAAGAATATTTGGAAAATATAGACTGAGATTATATTTGAAGAAGACAGCATTTCAGATTAAAATTATACGGATGAGTGACACTTAACGATCAATGTGTTAGGTAAATGAACTGATATAATAAAAGCGGTATGAGGAAACAGAAACTTCCGGATTTTAATATTTTTATTGTTGTTGTAATTTTTATGAAAAATATAATAAAAAGAAAAAAACATTTTTTCCGATAACAATATTTGAAGTAATTGAAAACAAAATATTTCACTTCCATAGTTCATAGAAGAAGAAAAGGAAACAATGAATTTTCTTAAAAAAATACAACTAGATGTCAATAGAAACACTAAAACATTTTTGGGACTTTTTATATTGATTTTCACAGAAACGAAAACATGGCGAGGTCGTTGCACTGATCTCTAATAATACGAATAAAGGCCAGTGACTTATCCCAGACTCCAAAATAAATTTCTACGTATTATTTGTTACTTCTATCTAATTAGAAAGTTTTGATTTCAGAACTCGGTTTGAGGTTTTATAATACTGTAAATACTCACAGAGTACGGTGAGATCTATTTCTGCCTTCAAAGTGTTGCTGATCATAACGTTTTTCGCTTCACAGGTATACCGCGCCTTGTTGTCTGATGCGTCGGCCTTGAAAGACAACACGTTCTCAGACATCCTGCCGCTAGTTCTGTAACAAAATTATTAACCTGTTTTATAGAAATATTGGTAAGTGTTGTAACACCATGTGTCATTTTAAATATTAAAAAAAACTACATTATAAGCTGATGAAATAATCTATAGAACTTATAGCTTATTTCACCAGCTTGTAATGTAGTTTTTTCTGGGTGAAAAAAAAGTTTCATGATCGAATCCGTATTTCTGAAGATTAACCTAATTGATGATCATTGATGACTAATGATAATGATTAAGGTGTATAATGCTCTACCCCCTACAAATAAACAATTTTAGAAACTTTACTTCTTTATAACATTAGTATACTCGTAGATGGTGACTCATCAAAATAGACAAGCATCACCTTCCACCCATAATGTGGTCGTAGAGTGACTAATGATAATGATAAAGAAAAACTGTCTCACTCCAATGGTTGTTAGATACGTTCCAACCTATAAATGTTGGCGTAGATAATTCTTAAGCGCGATGCAGGTAGACCTCTCGATATTGATACTTCTAATAATTGTTATAGCGATGTTAATACGATAAGACAGATGTCGCTACATGTAAAGTAAATGTTTGATTCAATAATGCAAAGAAATCAAACTATATTTAGGTACTAGAGGGTCCTTTGAGAGTTGCATTTTAACGCAAAAACAGGCTTCTCGTGGTAACAAATTATGCTCGCTATTGTAAAATAATTAAACAGTATTTTGGTCAACGTTTAAGAAAAATGTAATAACAACAAAATAACGCTCTCTGTTGTAGAGTTGATGTACAAATACGTTTATGGGTTTTTATAAGTGTCGTTGCTACTAAAAGCTACAGGGCGCTGCGTAGGCACGAGACAAATAATTTCGAATTGGAATCCTCTTGAGAGAGCTCTATAGATTTACATGAATCTCTTTTCCATAATGTCTTCGCTGCCTGCTGTAGTACATTGTCATTTGGCTTTAGATATAGGTAATAACTTTTCAGTTATAACATTTACAAAACCGTCGCGAGTTAATGTTAAGGAATGTTGAACTGCATATATAAACACTTAGTTATAGATCGAACTTGGAACTGTTCCAAAGTTTCTTAATACACGAAAAATTTAAGTTGGAGTAGAAGGTGAAGTTTGTTAATATTCTTTGATTTTTCAAAATCATTGGTACAAAAAACTCAATTAAATTATAATGATAAGATATAGTTAAATTGTGTAGAGTATATGTTACATTATTGATTGTTTTTACCCAGTAACATCCACCACAAAGGCCGCAACAGCGCTCAAATATCTGGGACTCTATAAATGTAAGGTACATGGGTATCGTATGTATCCCGTAAATTATCGTTTCTTATACAATGATTGATTATGTTCACTGGAGACATTTTATAAGCATGTTGTTTTAAATTTTCATGGTCTTAACATAAGAATACAGGGGTACCAAACATAGAGGACTCGAGTTGGTAGATATCTGCCAGTAACATCCAACCGCAAGGCTTCAGTTACTCCATGATCCATAAAAAAAACGATTACTCAAATTTTATAAGTTTATTGACAATGTTATTAAAAGCATAATTAAGATGTATATAACTAAAATAGAAATATAAAAGTACAAATCAAACAGTGAAAACAGATATCGCTTAATAAAAAAGTTTTCGTTGTTCGCCGAAAATTTGTGTTCTCGCAAATGCATAAACCATAAAGCTTTCTAGTCTCATTTTAAATTATGAAACCTTAAAAGATTGATAAGTTAAAGTGGAAACCATTATCATATTCCTCCAAGTTCATCTGAAGATATCAACCAACTAAGCGGTACATGAAAGTTGTGACGTCTCAACGCAAACTCGCCTAACTTGAAAACGAGCTTTTTCCGCGGTTCACTTTTAAAAATTTCATCGTAGGCACCACCGGATGGGATCCGCGATGGAAATTATTCATTTCCAACATCTGGAAGTTTCAAACTAACCTCCGCCGCGTAGTTCGAGATCTTGCAATATTTATAAAAATGTGGTATTTTTTTTTCTCTCTCTGTGTCTTAAAAGTTTCCGTTGAAGTTTTTGAATACTTTTGATGTTCGGACGCTTGGATTTCGTTCAAACAGTAGCATGATCTGTTATGATAATGTTACACAAACTTTTGACTGAACCGCTATTTGGTAAATTACAGCACTTCTATAAAATACTCATTAATTTTGATCAGCATTCATTTGTCTTAGATTTGGACAGCAATTTTTGTTTCTTTTTTAAACATTTTTCATTAAAAATGTGTTCCAGTATATCACCGTGAATGCAAAATTGAAAAAACATATTAATTTATTTCATTGATTTTCTACAATCAGGAATTCTAAAACGGAAATATTTATTTACATCCAAGTGCTGCAGTCACTGTACGAAAATGCCACCATGTCAGTTCGGCTCCAGGACCAAAACTCGAAAGCAATACGACTACAGCGTGGAGTGAGACAGGGCGACGTTATATCGCCGAAACTGTTCACTGCCGCACTGGAGGACGTGTTTAAGCTTTTGGACTGGAGAGGACTTGGCATCAATATAAACGGCGAGTACATGACGCACCTTCGTTTCGCTGATGATATCGTAGTCATTGCTGAGACCATGGAAGATCTAGGCACAATGCTCGAAGACCTCTGTAGAGTTTCCCAGCAAGTGGGTCTTAAAATGAACATGGAGAAGACAAAAATAATGTCAAACTCCCATGTCGTACCCACTCCAGTGAATGTTGGAGGCTCTACACTGGAAGCTGTCGACGAGTACCTTTACCTGGGACAAATAGTCCGATTAGGTAAGTCCAACTTCCAGAGAGAGGTAAGTCGACGGATCCAACTCGGCTGGGCAGCGTTCGGGAAGCTACGCAGTGTATTCTCGGAACATCTACCGCAGTGTCTCAAGACAAAAGTCTTTAATTCGTGCGTGTTGCCAGTGATGACATACGTTGCTGAGACGTGGCCGCTTACGATGGGCCTCATAAGGAAGCTCAAGGTCGCTCAGAGGGCAATGGAAAGGGCTATGCTCCGGGTTTCTTTGCGAGATCGAATTAGAAATGATGAGATCCGCAGAAGAACTAAAGTCACCGACATAGCCCAAAGAATTGCAAACCTCAAGTGGCAGTGGGCAGGGCACATCGCTCGCAGGACTGACGGCCGTTGGGGCGGTAAGGTCCTGGAGTAGCGACCGCGTACCGGGAGACGCAATGTTGGCAGGCCCCCCACAAGGTGGACCGACGATCTGGTGAAGGTCGCGGGAAGCCGCTGGATGCGGGAAGCGCAGGACCGATCGTTTTGGAGATCTTTGGGGGAGGCCTATGCCCAGCAGTGGGCGTCTCTCGGCTGAAATGATGATGATGAGGCTTCCAAATACTGCTGTGATAAATTAGCTATCACACTGACAAATGGTGGCGAATTGTGCATTATTATTTATTTTAATTAATTACTCGTAAACTATGATAATTATAATTGTAAAATTCATGAGATTGCTTTTAAGCCTTAATCTGGCGACAATAAAACTACAAAATTGACTATATTTTGTATGCTATGTGTATCTGTAATATACTATTGCGTGAAGTAATGTTTTATTTATTAATGTTACAATAAAGAAAACAATGGTCTTTTTATAAATTTAAAGAAAACTCATTAAAAGCTTTAAAGTGATCTATTAATAGACGCCCCAACAATCTTCTTAAGATATTTCCGGAAACCCGAAACTAAAAATGTAATTATGAATTCGGAATGCGCGAATCCGTCAGGAAGTCGGGGAATAAGTCAAACTTTCGTCGTCGTCGTCGTCGCGTCGAGAGATTGCTTTCAGTTTTGCGTTTTCGCGGGTTATTATGTTACACTACCGTGGTTCTAAATATAGTATTTCTTTTATTATTTACTATTAAATGACAAAAAATCATTGTTTTTCTGACTTTGAACAGTGACAAACAAACACCATTGATCTAAATTATTATTTTCTAATCTATGACTTTTATCTAGTATAGATTTAGTTTCATATATAGTTTACTAGCTTTCGCCAGCGGCTGCCCCCTAAATATTTCTTGAAATATTTCTTGAATCACTTACACAATGCAGTGGCGTCATTTCATCACTAAGTTCCTAGAACCATCTTCACAAACTTCATCATCTTACCAGCACCATAATATTGCATTGTCATTTGACTTGCATGTCTATTTAGTCGTAAATTTAAAATCTATCGGACAAATTTGAGTGTCAAGATTTGCGCACTAACATACTAACAAGGCCAGGTAAATAAAAGTTTATTAGAACTACGTTTATAAGTACAGGAAAATTAATACTTCAAAATTTAACAGATATCCGATACCTTTAAATTAATATGTAAAAGTTACTCAATTAAAGTTTAAAGTGGTTTTGTCGAAACGGGCTTAAGTTATGGGATAAGCTCCTTTATCCTATCAGCTATTTAGATAATAAAACTTTATTTTTAATACTTCAGTGCGAAAGCCGCAAGCTAAAACGGGCTGTCCGTCAAAATTCCACCCCGAAAAGTTTAAGAGAGCCGCTAAAACCCCTTAAAACCCTTGACCAAGAAGCACCTAGCACCCTCTTTTGTTTTAGCCGAGCGCTCGCTCGCTTCGCTTGAGCGATCCCGAGTTATATTATCTCGCTCCACTGGTTTTCTCACGATGACCCCTTAAACAGTAAACAATCATGTGAGAATGGTTTTTTTTCTGTCAGAGTGTGGTTGGATGTGGACTTAGAGATTTAGTAGTAAAATGGTAATTAAAATGCGTTGTTAGCTTGGCGTCAACTTTGTTATATGTACGTATTTTAATTTTTTATTTCACAACATAGTATAAAACAAAGTAGCTTTCTCTGTCTATGCTTATTACTTTAAAACTACGCAACGGATTTTGATGCGGTTTTTTTTTTGTTAGGGTGATTCAAAAGGAAGTTTTTTATGTTTAATACAAGACCATGCGGGCGAAGCCGCTGGCTTAAAGCTAGTAAATCCATATAGTATATTAATTGTTACCAAAGAGTATGTTTCGAAGAT